GGGGGGGGGGGGGGGCTATGACGGTACTTTCACCAGGCCGCGCCGGTTTGCCCTTTGTGCGCCGCGACCGGTCGCTTCTATCTTGCCCGCGTTTGAGCGCCTTCCCACGTCGCGACGGCTGCGCACTTCCGTCAAGGCTCTCGCTACGCGAAGCGTAGGAGGGGGTACGCGCCACCGCTAGCAGAATACAGCTTTAGGGCCTTAGCAGAATACAGCCTTCCCACGGTGCGGCCGCGGCGTGCTTCGCAGCAGCGCAGCGCGTAGCAGAGCATTGGTTTGAATGGAGGCCTTCCCACGAGCAGCGGGTGGCGGCTGCTGAGGCAGCCGACGCCGAACTCCAGCTACTCGAAGCGGAGGAGCGGCCACGCGCCACCGCTAGCAGAACACAGCTTTAAATGGGAGCCTTCCCACTGCGCCGCGGCCGCAGCGTTCTACCTGCTCCGGTCCCTTTGTTCGTCGTCGCCGGAGGGTCGGCGAAACCTACCCCTCCAGACCCCACCCCCTTCCACGGCAGTCGGCGGAGCGGCCGTGGCTCCGGCGGTGGCTGCGTCGGAAGGGCTCTGATCCTTGAACGAAGCGCGTCGCGGTCGCGCCGTGGAAAGCCGGCCTAAATGGTAGCCTTGCCACTGCGGCCGCCGGTCGCTGCGTTTTACCTGATGTGGTCAGTTTGTTCGACGTCAACAGAGGGTCAGCGAAGAGCCCTGCCGATTAACGTACGCGCGCTGCCGTGGCGGCGTAATATAAAAATATATATTACTGAATAGTTGATACATGATTTAATGAAAATACAAGTATATTTGCACATCTAAAGAACAGTATTATTTAGAACAATTGAAATATAATTTTTAGATAAATAATTCAAAACAAGCTATAAAATGTTCTAATTGATGGCTCCCGTGGCGCAATGCCCTCCATCTCCAAACTACGCAACCGCTTTCGAGCTGCAGTGGCTGACAATGGCTCATATTCCTACTCATTCTCCAGAACCTTAATAGCTTTAACTTTGCAAGATTTAAAATAATTTCAGCGTAATCCATAAAAATCGCAACATTCCCATCTTGCGAAAAATTTCTGGACTTTAATTTTTTTTCTCATATGC